GTGAAGAGGACTTGAAGCACTTACTGATGAAGATCAAAGACCACAGCCTTCAGTATGGATTACACCTCAACATAAAGAAAACAAAAATCCTCACAACTGAACCAATAAGCAACATCATGATAAATGGAGAAAATATTGAAGTTGTCAAGGATTTCATTTTGCTTTGATCCACAATCAACGCCCCTGGAAGCAACAGTCAGGAAATCAAAAGACGCATTGCACTGGGCAAATCTGCTGCAAAAGACCTCTTTTAAGTGTTAAAAAGCAAAGATGTCACCTTGAAGACTAAGGTGCGCCTGACCCAAGCCATGGTATTTTCAGTTGCCTCGTATGCATACAAAAGCTGGACAATGAGTAAGGAAGACCGAAGAAGAATTGACACCTTTGAATTGTGGTGCTGGTGAAGAATATTGAATATACCATGGGCAGACAAAAGAACGAACAAATTCTTCTTGGAGGAGGTACAACCAGAATGCTCCTTGGGAGCAAGGATGGCAAGACTACGTCTAACATACTTTGGACATGTTATCAGAAGGGATCAGTTCCTGGAGAAGGACATTATGCTTGGTAAGGTAGAAGGTCAGTGAAAAAGAGGAAGACCCTCAAGGAGATAGAGTGACACAGTGGCTGCAACAATGATCTCAAGCATAACAACGATCGTGAGGATGGCAGAGGACCGGGCAGTGTTTCATTCTGTTGTGCATGGCATTGCTGTGAGTCGGAAGCGACTTGATGGCACCTAACAGCAACAACAATATCATACTTAATGGTGAAAAAGTCAATGCTTTTCCCCTAAGATCAGGAACAAGTATCTGTTGGTGCTTTCTCAAGAAAATGATCCTGTGGTCAGGTAACAGGTCCAGTTACAGGGTTCTGGGAGTAAAGCAGGAGTAGGGGTGATGAGGGGAAAGGAGAAAGGCTGCTGGGGTGGGGTGGTGAGCTCCTAATCAAGGTGTAGATATTCACTTAATTCCTTTGTTTTAAATACAGAATTTTATCTCCCCTTTCTGATGGATCTGAAATTCTTAAGTCCAAAGCTTCTCTGGTTCATTTTCTTTAAAACCTGTCTTCTTCAGGGAGCAAGATTATTCATAACCAACTTCCTTGCCTTCAGCTCTCCTCCACCAATTCTCCCCTCCCAATTCCCACAATGCTCCATGCCTCTGTTCCTCAGCCTTTACTGAGTTTATACATCAAAGCGTTTTCTCTTTGCTATCTCCTGCTTCCTGCTTAGTCACCCACCCCTCCATCTAAAAATTATGAGTACTTTTATTCTGAAGCTGTCTTCTCTTATTCTTTTTCCTTGTGGGTTTAAGGCTTTTTAATTTTCATTTTAGTGGGTCCATTGGGAGGAAGTGAATTCTATCCATAATGTCAAACCCTGTTAATACGGTTTATGTTACCCATATTAAATAAAGGTAGTTTCAGACTCATTGATTCAATTACTTTAATTCTGGACTGAATTTAAATACTACATGTTACTGATTAAGAGGCAATAATTATTACTTACTGCCTTTCACAGTAGTATTAGTCAACTTAAAAATAATGTTTAAAAAATAAATGCTATTAAGAACTCCTGCTCTTACAAAACTTAAAAAGAGAGTGAAAAGGCAAGTTTTAAATGGGCTAAAATCTTTGTAGCACATATACCTGACAAGGCATTACTATCTTGTAGAATATAAACTAGTTCTAATTAATTAATTTAAAAAGACAACCAATATAAAAATAGGCAATAGAATACAGGAACAGGCATTTCACAGAATAGGAAACAGAAATGGTCAAAAAACATTTAAGAAGGTGCTTGAATTGTGTCCCCCCAAAATATGTGTATCAATTTGGCTAAGCCATGATTCCCAGTATTGTGTGATTGTCCACCATTTTGTCATCTGACGTGATTTTCTTATGCGTTGTAAATCCTATCTCTATGATGTTAATCAGATGGGATTAGTGGCAGTTATGTTAATGAGGCAGGACTCAGTCTTCAAGATTAGATTGTGTTTTAAGCCAATCTCTTCTGAGATACAGAAAAGACAAACCAGCAGAGAGACATGGGGATCTCATGCCACCAAGAAAGTAGTGCCGGTAGCAGAGCGAATCCTTTGGATCCCAGGTCCCTGCACGGAGAAGCTCCTAGGCCGGAGGAAGATTGATGACAAGGACCTTCTTCCAGAGCCGACACAGAGAGAAAGCCTTTCCCTGGAGCTGGTGCCCTGAATTTGGCCTACTAGACTGTGAGAGAATAAACTTCTGTTTGTTAAAGCCATCCACTTGTAGGTTTTCTGTTATAGCAGCACTAGATAACTAAGACAGTGCTCAACCTCATTAAGAAGGAATATAATTTAAAACCACAAGAAAATTAAAAAAGTGAAAAAGTCTGATAATATTGTTGATGAGAATGTGGAGCAACAGGAACCGTCAAATACTATTATCAGAAAACAAATGGATACAATGAATCACTGTACAGAACAGTTTGGCATTATCTAGTAGAATTCAACATGTACATATGCTATTATCCAGCATTTCCACTCCATGTACACTAATCTCATATATATGCATTGTAAAACATGCAGAATGATGTTCCTAACAACATCATTTGTAAGAACAGAAAGCGGGAGACAACTCAAATAGCTATTGATAGACTGGATAAACTGTGCTATATTCATAACATGGAATACTATCTAGCAATGAAAATAAATTACAGCTATATGCATCAACATAAATAACAAAATGTTGAATACGAAAGCAAATCAAAAGGAGACTCAGTGTAATTCAAATTTTATAAGCCTCAAAATCAGTAAAGTTTAATAGATACAAATGCATAGGAATGATTAAGTACTAAATTCAGGATAGTGGTCACATGAGAGGGTAAAAAAACAAACAAACCAAACCCCCTGCCGTCGAGTCAATTCCGAGTCATAGCGACCCCACAGGACAGAGTAGAACTGCCCCATACGGTTTCCAGGAAGCAGCTGGTGGATTTGAACTGCTGACCTTAAAGGGGAATATAATGTGGGATAGGTACACAGGGAGCTTCAAAGGTATTGGTATTGCTTTATTTTCTAAACTGGGTGGTGGGTCCATGGGAGTTCATTTTATTACTCTTTATAATGTGTAAATGTTACATTCACTCTTTTGTATATATATTTTACAACAAAAGGTAAACAAAAGAAAAAAAATCACACAATCTTGTCTTTACCAACAGAGAAGAGTACTCTGTAGATTAATCCAATGACTGGTATAATTTTATTTCCAGATAAACTGTACTTAAAAAAGGGGAGGCTGGGGAGTGGGATAAAGGGAGTACACTCAAGCTGACATTATTTGTCATTTCCTATTTTTCTACCATCTTTGTAGTGTGGTGTTAATATTTATATTCCAAACTCAGACTCTTTTGAGAGTTAAAGCTGGAGTTATTAATAATATGTGAGAAAAGCTGGTGTAAAATCATCCCAGGCAAAACGGGATGCTGATCACTTCAAAGTTTCTTTAGAAAAAATGCATTTTGGTGATATAAATTTATCTTGGTTAAGTCTTGGGGCCTGAAGATGTTTACAAAACATTTCAACGGGAGCTGCAGAACAATTCCAGTGTTAGTCCTAAGTCAGGAATCCTAGATTCTACTCTCAGCTGTGAGCAGGCATATGGTTTATGCTCTCTGGCATAAGGCTGTGAACACTGCACTTACTGATTATTTAAATCACTTACTCACTGAGTACATTTACTTAGTGCTATGTGCCATGCACAGTGAAGGACCAGGGACACACAAAAATGTGGCAGGAAAACCGATAAACCTTTTTTGCAGGCTCAGAAACACATAACATGGGAGAGAAGGAATTCACATTAGAGTATCTGCTCTGTACTAGGGTTACTCAACTCACTCACAAATGTGTGAGAAGTGGAGTAGAAATGTGTCCAGATCTGCCTGAAAGCAGTGCTACATAGTACCTGGTACTTTCATTCTTCCCAATATAGAGAGGCTGGTAGTAGAATTCTTTGAACTGAAGTAACAGAAACAAACTCAAGCTAACCCAAGGAAGGAGGGAGGGAGGCAGGCAGGCGGGCATGTGCAGGAAATTTACTGAGCGGAATCCAGTGTACCTGAATCTCACGGATTAGAAATAGAACTGAAGTCCACCAGAACGCTCACCCCGTTTGTTTATCTATGTCAGCCTAACCTTTGCGTTCCGTTGACTGGCTTTCTATGCTCATTCTGGCCATTCCAGAACTCCTGTGTTTATATGTCACAATGTGATTTGACTCTAGTTCCAAATCTAAATTCCTGAGAGGGAACCTAATTGACTCAGCTTGGGTCAGGCATTCGCGTCTGGTGCAGCTGATTACGGCCTTGGCTTACCTGCCTCTTTGTATGGTGGTGGAGCGTAAGTTCCCAGAGAAAGGCAGGGGTGGAGGGGATTGATGTCATCTTAAATGCTGGGCAGACCTCTGAAGAGCTAACCACTACATGGGATGACAGTGAGCCCATTCTCAAAGGGAAACAGGATGGTTGCCTCCATTTACAAAAAGCAGTTATTCAAACTGAAATCCTATTCTCTTATTTCTTAGAATACATTGTTTCTACTTATACAAACCTATGTTAAAAAAAAAAAGTAATTTGAAGGTCACAGCTTGATTTTTTCATGTAACCACCTTTTGAATGCACATGAAAAATAGTTTCCTTTTAAATATAACTTCTATACAAATAACCAAATGTTCATTAATACCCATGGATAAGAATTAGCTCACAGATACCTGCCAGGTTGTATTAGGCTCTGTTTTCTTGGTGTTTATTAATTTTTGATGCAATAGCTGATTTTCTGATACCAAGTTAAAATAGACAAAGATGAGACCACTACATCATATGACCCAAGCACTTTTTGGGTGCCTTGTCAGTCACCAGATACTAAAATGTGTCCTTATAGGAACCTTCAGTCAATATATCTCCAGCTACATCATCAGCTAAAATGAAGTTTAAAGAGAACACAAAGTATTATGTGCCTTTAGCAAGCCTTAGCTTTGCTAGTTCACTTACAGTTCTGCCAGCTTGTTTAGAAGATGTAATTCTCAATACATCTTATAGTACTTGGAGCAAAAGCAAAGCTCACTGTGTACAACAGATACCTGAAATCAGAGGAAGCCAAGAACTTGAGATCACACATCAGTGCCCTGTCATAAGGGACTGTACGAATTCAGCTCTTACGACTCCAAGGAGGAGTTTATGCAAGCATCCCAACAGCATGGACCCAGGGCTGGAGAGCTGCTTTGGACCAGAAGACACTCTAGGCCTGCTGCCCTTGCGATTCCTTTCTCAGTGTGTTTGCTTTCTCTTTCTCATGGCATCTCTGCTTCTCTCTCTTCTTTGCCTCTCCCCATTTTCCAGCCAAATTCCCAACAAAGGTAATAACCTTTACCTCTAACTGAAGAGAGTCCTTCATGTAATGGCACCATTAGGCTGGTAGTCTTAGCCAGGTACCCATCTCTGGTTGAACCAATGTCTACCTTGGTCCAAAGAAAGGTCTAGTGTTGCTTCTGGTTTCATCTGGAAGGAGGATGTCAGACATGGCAGGCGTCATGGTTTAACTATGACATACCAAAGTAGCCCTCTACGTTCTGTCAAGCATCTAATATTCTAGATCCCAAATATATAAGGATAGTAGTAAAGGAATTTGCAATTCCAATCCACAAATTGTTTTAAAACTCCACAGAGATAGTATCTATCAACAAAAAAGAGTAGTCATAAAAATATAATATACAGTGAAACATATTTAATAGTAATATTAAAATAATCATTACATTTCCTCTCATTGCTGAAACCATGAAAGAATACGCTTTTTGTAATTAACTTTTTTTTATCATGCAAAAGGTATTTTTATTATACATTTGTAAGTACAGACTATATTTCAAAACAAGTTTCTATGGACTTCAAAAAGCCTAGACTCAGAGAAAGTGAAATTTATTTAAATACTATTAAAGTTACATTGTATGCTGCAGGCATACTCATATTCACAGTTTATAAAGGAAGAAAAACTAAACTTTAATGTCAGCTTTGAAACATACATTTTCAGTGAAACATTCACTAGGTAGGTTTGTTCTTCTACAATGAGAGGAAAGACATTTTGTAGGAGATGTTTTTTTGAAGAACAAACTCAACATGTCAGCAGCAGATTTTAGTTAAAACTAAATTGGAAACCAATGTTCTGAGTAACCAAAGTGCAAAGTTAGTTCTCCAGCTGAGAATGAAAAATGAGAGTATAAATTGGAAGGCTTCAGGGGACTTCATAGAGCATACTGTCCAGTGCCTTAGTATGAAACAAATATTAAAATATAATTCTCAAATTTATGATTTAAGAGCACAATTTTGATCTAGTCAATAAAATATATTCAGAGGCAGCAAAGGCAAATAATACCACTATTTATTGTTATTCCCAAGAACTGTGAGAACACAGCCTGACTTAAGCTGTCTTTCTGAAATCCAATGATGGAAAGCTTATGGAACACCACTATCTGTTAAACACAAGAAGTGCCAGTTTTTCACATTTGGATACAATGCTGAGTAACATAGTCACTGTTCCGGAAGACTTTTATTTGGGGGATGAAAAAAATTTCCAAAACAGACTCATGGCTTGGAAGTAGTGTTACCAGAGCAAGAGACTAGAAAGACACCATGAAATCCCCCTCAAGGTAATGCAGTGGTCCCATCTGATTGGTGTTAGACCAGCCAATCCTAGGACTTCTGACAACATGAGTCTTGACTTTTGAGAAAGAGAGAACAATTTATATATTTTTTAAAGTACATTTTAAAGCTAACTAAATAAAATTGTTTTAATTTAGCCTCATAATTAACTGTAGCATATTTACGTTATAGTCCCTTAATAAACAAAATGATCAATTTACCAATAAAGCATCTTCCTTCATACTCTAATCAGCAAATTTTATCTAACAATTTACAACTGATTAACAATCTGATTTTGCAATAATAGTCTTGTAATGTTACTTTAAAAGCATAAATTCCAGGTGTTATGCTATTGAAATTTAGTTTAACTTCAAAATTCACAGTATTGCTATGAAATAGACAGGTCCTGAGGTTCCAGAGAAGGGGGGAGTGAATTCATTCTTCATTTTAATTCTGGCAACGTGCAGGGAAGATCACAGAAATGATGGTCTCTGGGGTGTCGAATGAAAGGACTGTGGACTGGTATCAACACTCCAAACTGTACTTCAAGCTGAGACTTTTTAATACAGCTGTCCTATATATGTACAAATATATGCAAATACAAATATATACACACACTTTTTGACAAAAATGATGACAGCAATATACTTGACTCATTTTTTGCCAAATGAATTCTATTTGGTTAATAAATAAACCATTTTCTTTCCATCAATCTATCGAAGTCCAGACCAACTATGCAGATAGGATGCCCATCCTGAGGAACGGGAAGCATTTTCTTCCTCACCTTTGGAAAATTAAAAAAAAAAAACAAGTATTGAAATTTCTCAGTGCAAAATCTATATTCCAGAACCATTCCACAGTATAAGCAAATACGAATTTTTTTTAACTGATTATATGCTATCCTTTTGTTTTATAATTTAACTTCAAAACAGTGATATGCAATATGAAACAATCTAAACCTGAACCTTCAGATGGCTTAATAAAAAAATGAGCCACAAAAATTACGCAGAAATGACTTTACAGATAAACAATGTACATCAAGTGGTTGTCCCATTTTACTGCTGAGTGGTGTTCTGCTGTGTGCTGTATCACAGTTGATTCATTTATAAGCTGAAGGACATCTGGGCCGTTTCTAGTTTCAGCAATTGTGAATAAAGCTGCTATAAGCATTGTGAACAGGTTTCTAAGTAAAAAAAACTTCTTTGAGACATAATTCACATACCATATAAAATTCACATTTTTAAACTACCCTTCTGGGGTTTTTAGTATATTTACAACATTTGTGCACAGGTTTTTGGGTGAACATAGGTTTTCATTTCTCTCGGATATATACCTTGGAGTGGGATTATTACTGGATGATAAGCACATTTTAACTGTATAAGAAACTGCCAAGCTTTTCCAAGGTATTCCAAGGTTGTATTGTTTTGTATTTTATGAGTGTTCAATTGCTCTTTCAATCTTTTTTATGATCAACACAAATAAATCCTTAGAAGCAGTTTAAAGTTCAGAGAAATTCTGGGCTTCCAAAAAACGTTTCAGAAAGGGTTTCCCTTATTTCTTTTTAATATGATTTGTATATTAATACATGATATGAAATTTTTACAACTCTTTAAAAAAAGAACAAGTGAACACTCTTTTCATTACATGTCTTTTCTTCCACACCCACCCCCCAGAAATAACCATTATTAACTTAGTATGCATGCTTCCATGCATCTTTCTGCATTTTCATACACATATATGTGCCACAATAAAATCTCATTAGAGAAGCAGTTTAAAAAATTCAAAATGGAAAGCCTCTTTCTATAGTTTACAAGCCATTTTAATTTTTTTCTGTTAGCTGTCTGGTTTTATCAGTCTATTATCAGTTACGTATTGCTGCATGACGAGTACTACAAACTTAGCAGCTGAAAACATATTTCTCAGCTCGCAGTTTCTGTGGGTCAGGAGTTCAGGAGTGGCTTAGCAGGGGAATCTGTTTCAGAAGGCTGTAATCAAGGTGTTGACCAGGGCTGGGGTCTCATCTGAAGGCTGGATAGAGAAAGACTGCTGTCCACGCTTGCGGGGTAGTTGGCAGAACTGGGTTCCTTGAGGGCTGAAGTGATAACCTCAGCTGCTCGCGCGCTACTTAATGAGGCTGACCTCAGTTCCTTGCCACGTGAACTCTCCAACATGGCAGCTAGCTTCATCAGAGTGCAAGCTGAGAAGGCTCTCTCTAGACTTTGCCAGCAAGACAGAAGTCATAATCTCTTATAATCTAATCATGGAAGTGACATCCCATCCATCACCTTTGCTGTATTCTACAGGTTAGAAGCAAGTCACTTGATTGGTCTACATGGGGGTGGGGGGGAGCAGATTACACTACGGTATGAATGCTAGGAGGTGGGGATTATGGGGGAGGGTGCTCTTGCATCCCAAGTAGAAAAGAAACAACACAATCTTTGAACTGTGCTTAGAAGTCTGTCTTCCAAAATCTGAATGGATACATGCTTCTAGAAGGCTGGAGGAGATATTGTTTAGGGATGGACACCTGGGCACTGACTATGCTTTCTCCCATCAGAGAAGGAGGTGGCCTTGCTCCCAAGAATGAGAGTCTGATGACTGCAAACACTTGCCTAAACTGAAATGCACAGACTGCTGAATTTTCAAATGGAATGGGTGGTATACTCTCGAGTGGAAGACTTGTGACACAGGAGGAATTCACTGTGTTCTCCGATCTGGCAGGACCCTGCCCTGTGTAACCATTGTTACTGGCAGCTATAATGCCCTTAGACAAAGACCAGAGAAAAGTGGTGCAGAGCCAGGCTGCATTTGCTCCCGCCCTGAGTGGCTGCTCTCTTCCGATACGGTTTTCTATCTTCTGCAAATTCCATTAGGCACTTACAGTGCTGTGTGAGTGTGCATTCTCTTCCTGCTCATCTGGAGATAATAATAAAACAAAAGCCGTTGATAGTCTTTTCCCATTCTCATACTGGGTTATTGGTGTTTTCCTCTTTATTTGCTTCTAAAGAGTATTAGCCCTTGGTGTTTGTGTTTTGTAATAAGTAATACACATTTCCATAAAGTTTAACCTAGCTGGGGAGTAAAAGCTTTTAGCTCCCACGTGAGCAGCCAAGTTCAGATTCCAATTTTGCACAGAGAATTACTATATGGCTCTAACTTATTTGGGGGAGCAAAGCTGATTTACTATAAGCTGTATCTCAAGTAGAAAAGAAACAGTCTTTGAACTGTGCTGTTTTCTAATACGATAGGTTTCAGTTAACAGCATCTTCACTGCAAACAGAGGAGTAATCCACATTATATCAACTTCAGTTTTTGTTTTGGGACTAACGCCGCACTTCCAGTCATTTTCCCTTACCTAGTGATTGAACAGGCAGTTGAAAAACACTGTTAGAAACCACACAAAACCATACAGATCGTAAACACTGCTTCCAAGGAGAGGAAGCAGTCAAGAGGGACTGGTGTTCTTTGCTCCAATGGTTCTGTTTTCTTCAGGGCCTAGAAAGGTGGCTCTCAGACCCTCTCGCTGGCCCCCCACACTGTGCCGTGCTGGTTATCTTCAGGGGCTTGGTAATGAAATGTTCCTGATATGACCAGTGGGGCCTAGGGCTTATCTTTTACATGATGACAAGCTTCCTTTGCATGTCATTCCTGCTTGCATCTCAGACGTTCACTTAGTAAATTTACCTTAGGCTGCAAGTACCTCATTTAGAATTTCCAATAGAGGCGAATTCTTAAAAGTTTCTGCTTGTTAGAAAAGATCTTGAAAGATATTTTCACAAGGTTGGCAGTTATTTCTTTGAGCATACTGAAGATAACATCCCATCACTGCTATTTAAGTCCATTTTAAATCTATTACTCCTTTAAAGGGAATGAGGCAACGTGTCTTTTTTCTCTGAATGTTTTTGAGATTTTTTTTTTACAGTTTCACTTTTATGTGATCAGATGTGAACTTTATTTATTTTGCTTGAATTTTTTAAATTGTAAAAATATATATAACACATTTGTTAATTCAACATGTTGCCTGAAATTTATTGGGCTTTTTGAACCTGTGAATTGATATAACCAAAAACCAAACCCGTTGCCGTCGAGTCGATTCTGACTCATAGCAGTCCTACAGGACAGAGTAGAGCTGCCCTGTAGGGTTTCCAAGGAGCAGCTAGTGGATTCGAACTGCCGACCTTTTGGCTAGCAGCCGAGCTCTTAACCACATTCTTTTCAAATATTGTGTCTGTGCCAATCTCTTTCTTTTCCTTCTAGAATTCAATTATTAAATATACATTAGATGTCTTCATTCTATCCTCCGATTTTTATCCCCTCATCTGCTTTTTTTTTCCATCTTTTTGTTTCTCCATGCTGAATTCTGGATAATTCCTTCTGACCAATCTTCCAGTTTACTAGTTCTTTTAAGCCATATATAAATCTGCTCTAAACTATCACTGTTTTTAATTTTTATATGTTCTCTTTCATCTGCTCATATAGATAAGAGGCAAGAAGTAAATAATCTTTAAAAGGCAAAATAATTTAAATTTTTTAAGTGGGGTTTTCCTGTATATTTACAGGATTTAGCAAAAGTGTATCTCAGAATTCTGGGTTTCTAATGAACCTCTAAGGGAGCCCTGGTGGAACAAAGTTAAGCGCTTGGCTGTGAACTGAAAGGTTGGCAGTTAGAACCCAGCCAGTGGCTTCCCGGGAGAAAAGTCCTGGTGATGTGTTCCTGTAAAGTTTACAGACTAGAAAACCCTATGGGACAGTTCTACTCTGTTACACTGGGTTGTTATGAATAGAAAATCAACTCGGCACACAACATCACAGCAACAATGAACCTTCGGCTGTATCTTTTGTGGAATTACAAAAAAATCTGTTATTGGGACCCCTAGGTTAGTTTCTCTGAGCTCTTTCAATCAATGGACCTTGCACTTAAGGAGCCAGTTGGGCACTAGCTACATCTACATTACTTTATAAAGAAGCTCATCTTTTATAAGAGGGCTATTAGATATGCTATTTTGAGGTCACACTGTTACTCTACTGGAGGCTATGTTTTAACTTAAAAATACATACACCCTTTCTAAGTCCTGGTTCATTTTACAATAACAAAATAGGCTCAGCCATTCAAGACCCAGAATAAATCAAAATAGCACATAAAAGCAAATTCATAATTTAGAATAACTACATTATTAAAAATGTACATGATGTACTCGTATTTTGGATCTTAGGACAAAAGCGGCTATGTGGCTAAGGTAATGCATCCTATCGTTAGCAGACCTGAGATTACTATCAATGTCGAGTACGTTTCTCTCTCATCATCAGGAAGATGTATTATAAGAAAACATTTAAAGAAACCATGATCCTAGGTTTCTTTAGCACTCCTTATGAAGTATTTTTGCAAAAAACAGAAAACGACAACAACAAAAAGAAATTAAATCTGAATCTTCTCAGTCCCAGGATCAGGCGTTCTCCAAGCACACTGACCACATCAGGTACATCAGCATTTCCTGGGAGTTAGTTAAAAACGCAAATTCTGGACCCTAAAACAACCGACTGACTCAGAAACTGGGGTGGGGACTAGTGATTTGTTGTAGTAAGTGCTCCGGGTGATTTCGATGGATGCCTGCTCGATTTTGAGACCATTCCCTCAACCATGGTTTAATCAGCATTTACAGTTAAAGTCACCAACACAACGAGGCAATCAGACAAATCCATCCAGAGCATGGAAAATTTTACAGGACAAAGAACTGGCTTCTTCAATAAATAAATCAGATTTAAAAAAAGGAAAAACATGGAACTGTTCTGCCTCCTAAATCTTTTTTAATCTAAAACAAATTTAATATGTGAATTTTATTTGAACCACAATGTGACAAATCAACTGAAAAAGACATTATTGAGATAAATGCGGACATTTAAAAATGGGCTAGGTATCAGATATTAAGCAAATATTATTAATTTTGCTATAGTGGATATGTTTAAAAAAATTTCCATTTCTTAGAAATCCATACTGACTTTTTTATGATAAAATGACATGATATCTGAGATATGCTTTAAAACATTCCAGAAGAATAAAGAGCTTTGGTGGGGAATAAATTAACAAGATTCCCAACCCACTGATAATTGCTGAATTTGGGTGATGGGGCACAAGGATATTCATTATACTGTTTTCTCTACTTCTGCGTATTTGTGAAAATATCATTTAAGAGTTTAAAAAATTATTCAAAAATAAGAGATACATGAGACTGACAACTGCACACACTAACTGAACATCACTAAAAGTGGGACAACTACACATTTTCTGACTACTGATGTGATGCCTGGGAAAGTACACCACCACCACCTATGAAGTGTTTCTGTCCCCGCCCCTCGGCTCTTTCCTAATTTTACCTGGATCAGAGATCTGAGTTCCAATTTGCAGGCAGTATTGGAACAAGTTAAACAATATCTTGAAGTACCAAATCGAGAACACAGGACATTCTACAGGACAAACAACCAGTTTCTTGAACAAATAAATTGCACATTAAAAGAGGGACGTGCAATAATTACCGATCTAAAAAAAAACTTAAAAAACATCAACCAAATACAATGTGTGAAACCCATCTGGCATCGTGTAAGAAAACAATTTTGTGATGATCAAGAAAAATCGAACACAGACTGGGTATAGATGGCATATGAATTCAATACACACTGAAGTATTTACTGGTGAAATGATATGATGTGTGGGATTTACTTTTAGTATCTCTAGCTCTCCCTTACTCCTATCAAAGAAGTGAGTGCAAGATGAAACAAAATTGCCCATGAATTGGAAATTGTTAAAGATGGGTGACAGGTACAAGGGCTCATTGACTATTTTTTTCTGTATGCCTGACAATGACAACAATAAAAACACTTAAAAACAAAAAAAACCTGATCCTTAAGGTGCAGTTTGAAATCAGGAAACTACAGGAGCTGAATGTAAAGTATTTCAAAGCAGTTTATGAAATCACGGTATTAAATCTAGTTGATATGAAAATAAATCAGAAAACAAAACCCACTGCCATCAAGTCAATGCCATAAACTCTAAATAGAGCTGCATTCACCTGGGAAAACTGACTACTAGATACAGACCAGTGTTGACCATGTGCTCTCTAAGTTGCCCCTAGCCTATTTGGAAGTGGGAGGCAGGAAGAGGGGTGAAATAGGAGAGGAACAAGCCAACACACTTTAAAAAGTATGATACAAAACACAACCATATTCTTTGATAGGACCAAAGGGAAGTATCAACAATCCAGTTTTCAAAGATGTAGTAGATCAGACTAAGCACTATATTGGATTTTGCTGAATGTTAAAATTACATACATGTACTATAAAACCCATTGCCATCGAGTTGATTCCGACTCATAGCAATCCTACAGGACAGGGCAGAACTGCCCCATAGGGTTTCCAGGGCTGTAATCTTTATAGAAGCAGACCGCTACATCTTTCTCCAGTTGCTGGGTTTGAACTGCTGACCTTTCAGTTAGCGGCCAAGTGCTTAACCACTGCACCACACATCAAGGCTCCTTCATGTATACTATAGTTGCCCTATAACGTACTATAAACTAAAAAAAAAAACAAACCATTGCCGTGGAGTCGATTCCGGCTCATAGCAACCTTATAGGACACAGGAGAACTGCCTCATAGGGTTTCCAAGGAGAGGCTGGTGGATTCAAACTGCCGACCTTTGGGTTAGCAGCCAAGCTTTTAAGCACTGTGCCACTAGGGCTTCATAACATATTATAGTTGCCCTATAATGTCAAAAAGTCAGCTTTTCAATAGTGTGCAGATTACACATCATAGAAAAAAATGCAAATGAACAGATGTTATATGTTATAGTCTAGTGTTGTGAAAAAGATTGTAAGCACAAAGTCTCAACCACAAGACCAACAGGTCGTTTAAGTTATAAAATAAAAATTGTAAGACTCCTTTCACGCACCTTGAGCAATTACAGTCAGTTTTCCCTTTTCTTCCGGGCTGAGCTGCAACATCGTATCTATAACAGGAAGAAGCCTCTCTCTCTCACTACCTGGTTTAAGGAAGATAAACTGTAGCAAGACATTCTTCAAGTATTCCAGGTTAGCGACAGATTTCTCTCGTTCTTGATTTCTTTCCAATCTTCTTATTTCACTTTTGAGAAGCTGGTGTTAAAGAAATGAGTTAAAATAGGTGTTAGGAACTTGTGACGGAACATGACAGACTAGGACCCTGCAAAACGCTAGTAACGGAGAGGAAAAGAGTGGATGAGAGATACCAGGAAATTCCCAGCAGACAGGAAGCAGATGCAGCAGACGCAGAAGTGGAGGCCAACTCAGTCCAGCAGATTACCAAGCACGACGGATAAGAGGGAAGGACGCATCTTTCAAAACCAAAGAGAAGCTCCCGTCTAGAAGCACATGGTATCACGGAAACTGGGGCTGACAACAGGGGATTGATGGAAAGCCCACACAAGAAGCAATGAGAGCCGTGGGATGGTGCCACGAAGCTCCCTCCCCGTTCTGTTCTCCAGAGACTCAACCAGGGCTTGGGGCTCTGGGGGAAGACACTGTGAGGCAGGCGAGCCAGGGCCTGAAAACGGGGTGCTGACGTGAATGCCTGCATCCACCACTCTCTCTTTCCACCGCCTGCTTCTCAGAACACCAGGAAGTGAAGACGTCCACAGTAAAATCACGTTTACGTGATGAACAGTGCGTTACGTCAGTGCAGGAGAGAGCAAGAATTCAGGAAATGTTAAGACAATAGAAAATCCCACCAGAAAATGGGTCAAAGTACCAAAGGGATGATATGAAAAAGAGTCTTTGAGGAAGATTTCATATTATTTTATTTCTACATTTCTACATAGTGTTAAATGTTGTTATAGTTCATTTTAGTTTAGTCCAGGAAAGCTGGCCAACTCTGACCTAAAACCTACGGTAATTTTAAAAAATAAGGTCTAAGAAATCATGAGCGTGAGTGCAAATTTGTGGAAATATTTAACATTTAAATACTCACTTAGGTTCACTGGTTAGCTAGTGATTTGTTAGGCATGATAATGTTACTTTGACTATGTGTGAAAATGTTATCTTGTGAGACACACACTAAAGTATTTATCAGTGGGATGTCATGATATGTATAATTTACTTAAAAATACTTCAGCATTAAAAAAAGAATTCAGCATTAAAAAGATTAATTTGACAAAGACAGTTGGTGGCCTGCAGAGGCAGGACAAATCTATGTGGGGCAGCCCTGCATCGGGGAGAAGAAGGATGTGCTTTTCAGACTAACTGTGTTCCTAGATGTTTTTGGTATCTACTTTAAATAGGAAAAATGTCCTATGTTCCTTTGCCACCTCTGCCCACAATCTCTGTTAAATAGTTTAGTATGATGAACATCAGCTGAGTGATTTGAACTGTAAGTGCTCCATGGTTTATCTTCAGAATGTAAGGACCCACACCTATTTATAAGTTTTATATAAGTGTATGTGGAACAATGACTTGTGAACCTCTATCTTATTTCTAAAACTTAGAGCTTCTTACAAAAGTTGGGATTAAAACAGTCTCTATATATTAGATATAAAAGCAATCAATATTTCTCAGCTAATAGGAGTCTAATATCATGAAGAATCAAGACGTTATGGATCCATCTGAAATGTGAGTTTTTAAACTGGGGGTGGGGTGGGGTGGGGTGGGGGGAGACATGGAGGGTCAAGAAAACCCAGTCAGCTCAGAGCGTGTTCTGGGTAGCTAGGTTTTTTGAGTGTACCTTAATTTGCTCCATAAGGATGGCATTAGTTGCTTCTGTTTCCCGAAGCAGGCCATTTAAGTGATCGGCACTTTTTGTGGTGGAATGGAGTTTCTGAACCAACTCTTCTTTGGTAAATTCAGCATGCCATAAAGGAGGCTCTGTAACATATTTTTTCAGATATTTTCAAAATTAGATACTACACATGAAGATTCTAAATAAGAAAAACGTTTAGAGATATTTTACTTATGCAATATTATATAGGTTCTCTCTCTTTGCCATTCATCTATTCAACATACCTCAGTTAAAAAATTACATGTTGAATATAACACAAAATCAGACAGTCTGTTTTAAAGCATATAATCTAAGTGAATACAAGTCTTATGAGACCCAATTTGGAAATTTGTTAGGCTTGTGTTTATAGGATGTTTTATTACTCGTTTTTTCTACACATCTATTAATGCCTCAAAAACTTATGTCATTTCACCTACAAGTGAGGGAAGAATTAACACTACTGATGACTTATACCATTGACTCCTTGTATATGAAGTGGGGTAGGTATCATTCAAATTTTACAGATGAGGCAACAGGCTCAGAGTAAATTAAGCAATTCTGGCAAAAATCACAAAGCCAAGGGTGATTCAAGAGTCTGATGCCACCATCCAAACACTATCAACTTCACCTGAAGGTACTATGACTTGCAATTTCAATGCTCCTACCATAAATAGTCAATGACCATGGATACAAACTGGCCTTACTCCAGATGATCCTGAAACTTCAGAAGGATGACAAACAGACTCTTCCTGAATTATGGACATTAATATTCATTTTAGATAAAGTAAAAAATATACCAAAATGTTAATATATTTAATAAGCAAAATTCAGTACAACTACTTCACAAAGAGGAATAAATGGAAATTGTTAATTTCTTGGAAGGGTGAGAGAATAGTTTATTCTACTTTTTATTATCACTACAGAACTTTCAAAGGAGCCCTGGTGGTACAACAGTTAAGCGCTTGGCTGCTAACCAAAAGGTTGGCAGTTCAAACCCACTCAGCAGCTGTGTGGAAGAAAGACCTGTCGATCTGCTTCCATAAAGATTACAGCTTAGAAAACCCTTGGGGCAGTTCTACTCTGTCACATGGGATTGCTATGAATCAGTATTGACTTGACCGTACCCAACAACAACAACACAGAACTTCCAACCATCTATTTCTTGCTCAAGCGTAGGGCAAAGGTTGCATTTTATCTGGAAAAAGTTAATACCAAAAGAAATTTAACTGGAGTGACTCAAAAAAGCATTTAAAACTTGTATTATAACACTTACTAAGCAATGCAGCAAAATTAAACAAGACAAGCATATAAAAAAAGTAATGTACCAAGGTGAGTTTCAGGAGAATTAAGAAGCTGCTCTAAAGACAGTGTGTGGGTGCTGGTGGAAGACACAGACTCAGCATCAGTTGTCTCCATCCCTTCTCCTTCCTCCCTGGTTATGGTATGCATGTCCAGAGGGGGAAGGTCTGTGTTTCTCCTTTCTCGAAGGTTCTTCAAAGGTTGGTGGGAAGAGGCTGGACCTATTAAATTTATTTTTTAAAGGGTACATGTGAGATTGTTCAAAACCGTTGAAGTCAACCTTAACAGAGATACACAATAAAATTAAAATGATCCTGGGGATGTCAAATTATAAGGTGGGGAAATACAATAACCAGAAGACAAGTATATAGTGTAGAAAAAGAAAAGCATTTCTAAGACAGGCCTAAAAATTTACTTACTGAACTTTTAATCACTTAAATCATTTTAGCAGAAAGTATAAATTAATCGCTACTAGCTACATAAGGAGCCCTGCTGGCGCAATGGGTAAGTGCTTGGCTGCTAACCGAAAAGTTGGCAGTTCCAACTTACCAGCCACTCTGCGGGAGAAAAGACCTGGCGATCTGCTCCCGTAAAGATTACAGCCTAGGAAACCCTATGGGGCAGTTCTCCTCTGTCACATGGGGTTGCCAGGAGACGGAATCGACTCCACAGCACACAACAACAGTAGCTACATAAGACAAACTGTTAAGTAACACAAAGTTCATAATATGGTACTACTCATTTTTAGTAATTTAGGGTAGAGGGCAATACTGTAGCTAAATATGGGTAGAAATTCTAAAACTAGAGTCTAGCTATTTTTGAGAAGTAGATATTTTAGATAGTTGTGTATTTTCTGACACAACACACTTGTTGAAATTTGCTTCCCAGAAGTTCCTGTGACCATCTGCACGTACACTATCTCTGCTGGGTTCCTACAGCCTACTCACTGCTTACCTACCGTGTTCCAACAAGAGCCCCGAATCCAGGGGTGGCGGTGGGTAATAGTTGATTCTATTTCCTGGGCTTGCTGATAACAACACTTGCATAGAACTTTAAGGCTTATAAGACACTTTCAAATACATTAATTAATCCCAAGAAACCTGAAGTTCAGAGAAATGAAATGACTTTGCCCAAAGTCTCATAGCTACATTAAGGACTAGAATTCAAACCCCGATCTTTTAATCTCAAATTCCGTTTACTTTCTATTCCATGAAGTTGCCACTCTTGCTCTTTCAAACCATAGCCCTCTGGCTGCCCGTGCTGAAGTATTTTCCTTGACTGCTGTTATTCTGCTAACTGCTTACTCCACACACCACTGCTGACTCCTAGATTACATCTCCCGTGCAATCTGTGTTTGCCTGGATGCTTACTCTGTTGACTCTTCGCGTACAATAAATTATCTTGAAGCTGCTTTCTGCCTGACAAGTGACTCCTAGCTGTCAATGTCCTAGCGATAATTTCAATGGGAAACAAAATACCATCAACTTACTATTAAAATACAGCCTCATTTTGGCTGATACTTTTCCATTTCTCCCCAGAAGGAGAATGGCAGATATTGGATGTGGATGAACTAACATTCCACCTAATTATGAATTAGAAAGGGAAGTAGCTGTATGAGTCAAGAAACTCTAAAAGTTCAGTGCTGCTTGACTGTTCTAGTCACTTGCTCTCTGCGTAATGTTTCTAACTAGAAAACAGGAGTTAGACACACATCACGGGACTGAAAGAAATATGCTGAAGTCAGATAAAAGGAAACACTCCTTTACCTGGAGGCTAATAAATACATGAAACTCAGAATTCTAAGAGGTTACACAGACTACTGTTAGTATAATCAAGAAGGGTTCAAATATATTCCCAACAAGCAAGTCCAAAATTCATTAATTACAGAAATGAAACTAGTTGCCACCTACTAAAATTTATACTTTCTTATGAATTCTGTGAAGATGTATTTAAGTGTCATAAATAAGACAAGGACATAAACAACTCATACTCCCAGGAGTGCATACGTACTTCTTGTGGCAGGTTCACTCTTCAGCTGGAACAGCTGAGCTTCCACCTTGGAAAGCTGCTGCTGTAAAGTCTCCATCGTCTTTCTGTGCTCTTCCTGCAAATGTCGCACTTGATCATGGAAACTGTTGCGAAGGACCTCGTTCTGGGATGTTAGCTGACTCACAGTCTGCACATGTTCAGACTTCATTGCCATGTTCTCTGATTGTACTGAACACAACCTAACGATGAGAGAAACTTCCTTTGTAAGATCTTTCAACTTTTTATGCTGACTCAGCCTTTCTCAGCAAGTTCTATGAGGGAAACGAAGCCCTAATGTCTCAAGGCATCTGTTGCATGTATGAACTAACTTCTCTTCTACGCATCGATACTAGCGCTAACTGTGAACAACCCTGGCAGGATTGACACTGGTTGTCATCTAGTTCAAATGATCTTTTGTGAATCATCGTTCAGACGAGGAACCTTGGTTGAAAACTGTTCTGTGATTCCGGTGAGGGATTCTTTTCATGGTTTATCAGAAAATAGGACTGTATTTAAAACATAAAATGAATATACTTTTAATTAGACCACTTCTTCAGGTCATCTTATGTGGTAGCTCATATAAATGTATGATTAAACTATCTTTCTCTATTACCCTGAAAATGGGAAACACTTCTGGTTCACAAAGAAAGGCTTCAAGGAAACTATCTCTTTTTAAGTCAATTAAAATGAAACCCTAAAGTTGTTTTCCAAAGCCTGCTACACATCTGGATCACTGGAGTACCCTGTTAAAGACAAGAGACATTGAGTGCTCATCCTAGAGCTAGATTCTTAAATCCCACATTTGGAAATGAACAACTGAGCTAATGGAAGTTCACTGTTCTCTTTCAGTTCTTGAAGAGTGTTTATATTAGCTGGACCCCTCTGGTCAATGCAAACATTAGCTGACCAGTCTAATTACCACATTCTTGTGGAGTTGTTTTATAATCTCATGCTAGCGTTCTTACACAGAGAAGGTACAAATATCAAAATAGTTAAAAAGCAGAAAGTATATACGTGTTAGCAGTATTATCTGCAGATTATAAAGCCAAGAAAATCCAAGTGCTTTCACTTTTAAGGCTAGCATAAGATTAGGTATGTGTTGTAAGCATATATGAAATATATGACTTATCCTAACATCCTTGATGAAAGATGCTGAACAAAGAATTCTCCTTTTACTCAGTCTAAGATTTAACAAATACTGCCACCCAATTTCATTATTAAACCAAAAAACCGGGCCCTGTTGGGCTGATTCTGACTCTTAGCGAGCCTACAGGACAGAACAGAACTGCCCCATAAGGTTTCCAAGGAGCGGCTGGTGGATTCAGAGTCCCAAACTTTTTGCTTAAGAAGCTCAGCTCTTAACCACTGTGCCACCAGGGCTCTGTAATTTCTTTATTACAGGAGTTCAAATTTCCACATCCACAACAGCCTGTATATTTTGCCAATCAATGTCCCTATGATATATTTAAAATATTACAATGATTAACAAAAGTGTAACAATATGACAAGTTGAAGATAGAGTTGCAAAGATAAGCTCCAGATTCTTTTTCACTCAGCAGCTATTTGAATGTTTTCCTCTAGAAAGAGAGAAAAATGCTTATAATTTAACACTTGGGTTGGAGAGTAGTGTCTTTTTTGGGAATACCCTGGTCATAAAAGCCAAAGGAGCTACAGAATACTGGATGAACAGCTGAGCATTGATTGTTCTGGAGAACGCTGAATAGAAAACCAATCAAAAGGGGGAGCTTCAAGGTAGACTAAACCAAGTCACCAAGAATTTAGAAATATCTATTTCTTATTTTCACATCTGTATTTATTCCATGCAACGATGCATTTGGAGTTCCAACAAAGAAATACTTGACTGCCTGGTACAACTAGTGTTGGAGCTACTAACAAGCTTACTTTTCCCGGAGTTCGGCCTCTTTGGACACAGTTTCCTGCAGCATCTTGTTGTGCCTTTCCAGCAGAGTGTCGTGTTCAGACTGCAAGGTCTGAAGTTCAGATATAGTCATCTGTAAATTACTCTGAGTGTCTTGTAATTTGATTTTTAGCTGGTCAATCAGCATTTCCAGGTGTTCCCTAAAACAGATATAAACCATTTAAAAATTTTTTTTGAAAGAGGTGAACCTGCAATTTTTCAATGTCATTATTATTATGGGTGACTCTAAAGAAAACAATCAAAGGAATTCAGAGATCAGTATGAAGTATAATGCAAAAACACTACAGTCAGATTTCAGATCTTAGGTACTAAAGATTTACAAAAATGTCTCTGAATTTATGAATTTCATATGTAAACAGAGTAGACCATAACATGGCATCAAAGTAGCTTATTTTATGTTACAGGACTATGTAATTAGTAAAAAAGAAAAATCACATAGATGTTGTGAAAGTATTACATTAGATCAAGTTATAGTAAAATAAAATCCCTGAAGAAAAGCAAGTAGTCTTTTTAGACTTAAGAATAAAAAACTAGTTGGAAATCAAATAGTTAAAATACAGACTTCTACCACGATTAGTAGAATACATGGTTAGATTCCTATTAAAAAAAAAAAAAAAAAAGGTACTTAATGTGTAAGAAGTAGAAGGAACTTAAAACATTTACATTCAGGTAACTTGAACCCACAATTCAGACATGACTGTAAGATGACTCTTACAAATAGTGAGTTTTGTATTTATTCACTAAATGTGTCAATAATCAATCTTAGCTTTAAAATGAGCTCACTGTTTGTAGAGAAAATATCTCACCATTTTTCAGCCTACAGTCCCCGTAGTTAACACTTCTAAACAAAAAGTTCCAGCAGATAAACATACAACATGCAGGATATTTAGTCCTGTTTAGAACAGTGAGAGCCAGATGTAAAACTGCTTTGAACACACATGCCAGAGAACTCCCTTGCTATATCTTCTCCCAAGCATATTTTTGAGTAATTTACGATCCACATACTAACTAGGTTTAAAGAAGCATTAAACAACTTACTATTCAAACAGTAATCGAGATGGTCACAAATTTGTTTTAAGGGGAAAATTTAATTCTAGAACAAAATTTGGTTCTTAAGACTTTTTGAAATAAGTAAAATGTTTTAAAGTAACTTCTGTTTGGCAAATTAATGCCTGTATTCTTACCAGATCGTACTAAGACGAGACTGAAGTACGCAGCTTGCATCTTATAGACCATCCCCTGGTTTCCCTGCTCACTCTAACACAGCTTTTTGAGTTTTAGTGCCCTTTGTAGTGAAGTTTCTCTGTCACCATTCTGGAGACACAGTGAAGCTGAGAAATTATTTTATTGTCAAAAGAAATCCAAGTAGGGTTTTCAACCTACTTGCGAAGAACCTGCCTTGGTGGGAAAAACCCCTACATGTTTCTTTCGGTTTAGACTTTACCTTTCCTGTTTTGCTCCGTCGGTTTCAGCCTGAGACATGGATTTATTTTTCTGTTGTCTTAGAACGTTATGAACTCGGACCTTGTAGCTTTCAAATTCAGAAGTTACAGCCGCTTGTTCTGCCTATGAACATTTAAAACAGAGAAAAAAGTTTTTCTATTGCACTTTCTGTTGGAACATGATCCTACTATTTTCTTTTGGAGATTAATGAATTGAGATGAAAATATGTTTTTGAAAATGAGAAAATGGCTCATATTCTTTTCAGCCCAGTGATTAATTTCACTAAAAAGTACACTCTTATTGGTTTTAAACTTTTTTAAAATTAAACCTTTGAATGATATAATTTTCTCCTACAAGATGTTTCTACTGTATTCAGAATGGTGGTAGATTAATTTAGACCCATAAATTTTATAATGGCACTTTGTTTTTGAAACTTTAAAAGATCTTCACTTATGATAACTTCTCTTTTTATAAATGTAAGGAGAATTAATTTTAAAAAAATGGAGTTACAAACTAAAAATAGCACTATCATTTCTCAGATGTTATTTTAGCCAGCTGATGGACCCAGCAATTCTATTCCTAAATATACACCCAAAAGACTTAAAACAGACACTTGTACCTCAGTAAGAGAAACAAAGTCCTGATACGTGCTACAGTATGGAGCCTGAAGACATTATGCTGAGTAAAATAAGCCAACCACAAAAGGACAAATATTGTACGACCTCACTTACATAAAAAGACATGAAAAGGCAAAACAACAACAAAAAAACCCATTCCTTAGCTTAACTAGTAAAGAATGTCTGCCTTGAGCACTGTGCTCTTTTAAGAAATATCTGTATGGGATCAAACGGAAAACAGCAACTTGAAAGACTAGTTAGGAAACTTAGGGGTCAGTGAGCTTATGTTAATGGGGGAAGGAACAACTCAGCAAAGGAGGGTGAGAATGGTTGCACAACTTGAAGAATGCAATCAATGTCACTAAATGGTACATGGAGAAACTACTGAATTGGTGTACGTTCTGCTGTGTATATCCTCAACAACAGTACAGGAAATTATTAAAAAAAAAAAGAAATTAAGTTGCCTGAACCTCAGTTTTCAAAAAAGAGTTGTATAAGTGAAATTTAAGGTGTTCCACTTTCCTGCAGAGACTGATAAGAGCTGAACCTTTAACAAAAACTACTGTACTGTATCTAATTTTTTTGTATGCTGAAGAAAGCAGGCCCCCCTCAGCCACTCTATTAGAATATTATAATTATTACATAACAATTACCTAACAAAAAAGTATATAACAATTTTCTAATAAGAAAATTAAAAAAAAAAAGTAAATTTTCTGACACAAAGAAATTGCAAAACAAGGTTGGAATGGAAAACAATATGTGCTCATGTTTTCCCCCTGCAAAAAAAGTTATCAGTGATTGTTATGGCTTGGGGTGGGGTTGGGGGTTAGGATCCTATGACCTGAGGGAGGTATCCGTTCAGTAAGTGCCCTTAAATGACCATAAAGTACTAACAATCGCGAACACAATCCTTGAGGAAACAGCTTACTGGTTGGTAACTGTGACCAGGCAGTACCTTAGTGGTGTGACACTCTTCTTGCAAGGCTGTGATTTTTTGCTGGTAGGCACTCAGTGTGCGCTGGTGTTGTTCTGCAGACGTCTTCAGGTGCTCGTGAATTCTGTGTTTCTCAGATGTTATTTCTGCCAGCTCAATCTAGGACAAAAGTCTTTGAATTAGGCTCTAGTAAATCAGGACTGCACAGGTTAAACAGCTTTTCCTTAAAACACAAACCTGAGGCTTGAGATGTAAGTATGTGTAATAAACATAACTAAATTAGTGGAATATTTATATTTACTATTATTGAAAGAATAAAGACAATACGAGCAGGGGAACATTTTCTCAATAAGCAATTTAGTTTTCCTTAAACTAAAATCAATTGTCCATCATTAAAAAAATCCCAGACTACATGTTACATTTCCGAGCTTAATTAAATATCTCAAGACATTATATTAATGTGCTTTTAAGACTATTTTATAAACTAATTCTTGTGACTGCAATATCATTCAGAAAGTTCAGATGCAGGTTTGGGGCTGTTGTTATTTTCTTTTGCAGTATTCTTTGTGTATTATGAACTTTCAAATACATGAAAATAATCTAGCTAGACAGCATCCCACTTATATGCCATACTTGATTCATTGCTTCTACTTCCTAAAAATGTTGAGGAATCTTGCTCGATAGAATATTCAGAAAAATCCCTAAATGGTACCTTACTTCTCCAAGGAAAGTTTCTAAAATCTTCCTAAAAAGTAAAAAGAATCTTACTTTATAGACTTCAACTTGCTGCTGGCTTGCCTCCAGCTCACCCTTTAAAGATGCTTGAAGTATTAAGTGATCACTTTCCTACAGAATTAAGAATTTTGGTTAAAAATTAAAAAAAAAAAAAGTTATCATAAATATACTATGAAAATGTTTTAAATTTAAAACCAAGAAATTAACATACTGCTTGCTTTGAATCTGCCAGTTCTTTTTTGGTTTTCACAAGCAATTGCTTGATTTTGGTGTTTTTTTCTTCATATTGTTGCACTGAAGACTGTAATGAAGCTGGTGGAGGAAGCAATTTCAACAGAAAGAGATGAAACAAGTTTTGTGAGTAATTTTAAATACACAAATAACAAGTCTTTTAAAAAATTTTTTTTTATTGTTGTAGTTTAAATGAAGTTTACATTTCAAGTTAGTCTCCCATACAAAAATTTATACAGAGGGAGGGGCAAGATGGCGGTCTAGGCAGAAGCACCACGCCGTCCCTCCACAACAAAGATCCGGAAAACTAAGCCAAACAGAGAATCAACAATCCTGAAACCCTAGAACATCAAATGAAGAGATAAAGAACTCAGCC